GGGTATCGGCACTTATTTATGTCAGCGGAAGTGGATCTTGGCGGTGGTCCAACTGCTGAAATGCACGCAGAATTGGCTGCAAGGTCATATCGAATGCGAACGATCTGGTGGTTATAATGAATGCCAAATTCCTACAAATTTTAAGTGATGTCATGCAAAGTGGACCGTAAGAAAGCTGGACCAATGACGCCGAGCTCGGCTTGAAGCCACCGGAAACAGAACTTGCTCTCTTCACCAGGAGGTATAAAATTCGTGAGTTTTCAAGACTAACACTCTCTGGAATGGACTTATACATATTTGAATCTGCACCTGTACCTGGGACTCGTACTGGACAGGAACTAAGTCTAGTCACAGAAATCACAGGAAAGAATACACTAGCAGTCCATAGTCCACCATACATATATGTAGAGGTGCGATAGACCGGAAATGGTACCTGTCAGCTAAAATAGTGCGTTGGCTTTATAATACAGTCTTTAGGCCTATACTTCTATGGCGTTGCAGTTTGGTGGCCAGCACTCGAGAAAAAATCAACCATTTCCAAGTTAGATAGAGGAGCAGAGAACAGCACTCTCATTGACATTATGGGCTTTCCAAATGCTGCTTGTGCTGCGGCTCTCAAAACGTGCACTGCGCCTAAGGCCAGAATGAAACAAAAGAAGGTCACATGACCTTATTACCTTATCCGCAGTTAAAGGCATTCTTACAAGACATATTTTATTTAGCTAACACCCAGCTTTGCGATTGCTCCGCAGCGGCAGCAATCTTTGGAGACTTTGGTAAATTAGCGTGTGCTTAGATACGGCGACTGCTAAGTTTTGCAAACTGCACACATTTGTTTGATTACCGGGTGGTGGTCGATGGGATACTCAGTATTATCACAATTTGCCCGTTTGGGGGCCTAAGTCAGCTATTTTTTTTATTAATTTTATTTTAATTTATTTAATTTTTTTTTTATTTTATCTTTATTTTATTTATTAACAAGGAATATGCACATGAAAAAAAAAATGTACGTTCCGACATTGAATTAGACAATGTACAAACTTAGACGTGCAGACGTGCATGCAGATTTGAGGAAGAACTGATATTCATGCGGAAAATACACATAAAATTCGATGTAAATAAAAATGTGTTCAAGGTAGCCCTGCAGGACAAATGGAAGGAGTTGGTTGACAGATATTACTTTGGTGAGACTCCCTTTGATTGACTAAATTTGGTTAACAAATATGAAATGAAAGAAAAATACGATATGAAAGACAAATAATTTTTCGAATCTAATTTACATTAATTCAATTCCAAATAGTTATAATACCATAAAGGGGATTTCCTACTGGCTGCATATGGAAACCTTAACAGAATATTTCCTTCCCAACATCCATATGTGTAGCCGCACAACCTAAACTTACACACACACACAACTGAACAACTGCTCTCTTAATCATATGTATATGTTATTGCTTGTGACAGTTCTCTGTTCTTTGGTTTACCCTCACTTTTACTGTCAAGTGGTAAAGGGCACAGTAGAAAATGTAAACAAATAAATAAGCACATATTTTCAGTTTACAAATATCTGTACATACATATGTACGAATATGTATGTACGCACTAGTATGTGACTGAGGGAAATGACAAATGTTTACCTTGATTGTCTGCAAAATGCTGTCAACATAGTTTATATAACGTATTATATTTGTTTTTAAATAATATTTCTGCATTTCTTGTGTGCCACTTTATATGTATGTATGTATGTAGACGCGTATTTAGTCGTTGCTTAACGGAAAGGGTACATGCCTTCGACCATACGGAAGCCACTGCACTTGGTTAGTTGAAATGGTATGCCAAGGGCAAGGGCGACATATGAGATCTTCTGCATTTGCAAGGCAAGGCAAATAATCGCATATTTTTTTGATTTAGTGTCTGGCGTTTTTAATTGAAATTTAAAACAGAAGCTTACTGCTTGCAATAAACACTTGCTTATTACTTAATTTATATATATAATATTTTATATATTATTTTCTCCTTTTAATTTGTAGTTTTTTCTATACAACTATGTATATAAATATATAATATATATATTTAATAAATTTTAAATAATTTAAAAAAATTTTCCACATTTTCCAACATTTTTTATACAAAATAAGTGGGAAAAAAGTACATAAAAACCTATGATGTAAATAAATTTTAAGACATTTCCATTTTTATCAAGATTATTATTATATATCTGAGCATTCATACCACTGTGCAAATTAAAAATATCGTTTATTTATTTATTTATTATTTCTGCTATTTTCAGTTTCGATCTGCACTTTTTCAATTATTCCCAAAGAGCGAATAAGTCGACATAAACAACGCGATGCCAAGGCGAAGGTAAAGAGTAGCTATGTAGCCAAGACAATAAGTCTAAAAATACTCCCAGAAGCAAATGACAACCATAGCAAAAAAAAAAAAAAAAACAACAACAGCAACACTGTGCAAACAGCAGAACAGAAACTAAGAAATAGCAGAAGCCGGCAATAAGCAAATAATGATGACAGAAAAAAGAATATTCGAAACAGTTGCTGAGAGAAATGGGCAAACCGACGTAGCAACAACAACAATAGCAAAAATGAATATAAGGCAATAATGCATTATAAGATGATTGAATATACAAGTGAAGTGCAAATCTGTGTGAGGCAGAAGACAAACGAAAAAAACAGCTGCTCTTTTCGGTAGAGTATGAAAAGACAAAAAAGAGTGTGAGCTAAAAATAGCCAAGGCGCACGTTCTGTTAGTCGTAAAATCGCGAGTCGGTAGAATAAAAAAGAAAAAAAATGTAAAAGTATTACATACACTAAAACGTCAATAAGTAAAATAATGATAATAAAAGTTGTTAAGCCAATTATATGACGTCACCATGACGAGCGACTACATCGTCACGGCAAGACAAAATACTAAGCCGCAACAAAACAAATATAAAAGAATGAGCAAATGAAGGTTACTTATACGACCAAAATGTCAAATATCTTTGTTGCTCGTCAATAGATGGATCCCAGGTTCAGTGAACACAAAAAATAAAGATGTATAAAAAAATATTAAAAATAAGAAATTCAATAAAATGCCTTAAAATAAAACAATTAGAAAAACAATATATAAATAAAATAAAATATATAAATAAAATAAAATAAAAAAATTTAAAATAAAATAAACAAAATAAATAAACTAAAACAAATACAATGAAATGAAATAAAATAAATTAAGATAAAATAATCTAAGCAAAGTAACAGCCCATAAAATAATTAAATTAAAAAAATAATATAAATAAAAAAAATTAAAAAAATATGTTTAAAAATAAAATGAATAAAAACAAAATGAATTTAACTAAATAAAATAAAAATAAAATAAATAAAACAAAAATAAGTAAAATAAAATGAATTGAGTCAAATTAGTATAAAATGAAAGATAAAAATAATAAATAAAATAAAAGAAAAAATAAAATAAAATAAAATGAAAAAAATAATAAAGCAAAAAAAAAATTAAAATAAAATAAAATAATCTAAACAAAATGAAATAAAATAAAATAAAATAAAATAAAAAAATAAAATAAAATAAAATAAAANTAAAATAAAATAAAATAAAATAAAATAAAATAAAATAAAATAAAATAAAATAAAATAAAATAAAATAAAATAAAATAAAATAAAATAAAATAAAATAAAATAAAATAAAATAAAATAAAATAAAATAAAATAAAATAAAATAAAATAAAATAAAATAAAATAAAATAAAATAAAATAAAATAAAATAAAATAAAATAAAATAAAATAAAATAAAATAAAATAAAATAAAATAAAATAAAATAAAATAAAATAAAATAAAATAAAATAAAATAAAATAAAATAAAATAAAATAAAATAAAATAAAATAAAATAAAATAAAATAAAATAAAATAAAATAAAATAAAATAAAATAAAATAAAATAAAATAAAATAAAATAAAATAAAATAAAATAAAATAAAATAAAATAAAATAAAATAAAATAAAATAAAATAAAATAAAATAAAATAAAATAAAATAAAATAAAATAAAATAAAATAAAATAAAATAAAATAAAATAAAATAAAATAAAATAAAATAAAATAAAATAAAATAAAATAAAATAAAATAAAATAAAATAAAATAAAATAAAATAAAATAAAATAAAATAAAATAAAATAAAATAAAATAAAATAAAATAAAATAAAATAAAATAAAATAAAATAAAATAAAATAAAATAAAATAAAATAAAATAAAATAAAATAAAATAAAATAAAATAAAATAAAATAAAATAAAATAAAATAAAATAAAATAAAATAAAATAAAATAAAATAAAATAAAATAAAATAAAATAAAATAAAATAAAATAAAATAAAATAAAATAAAATAAAATAAAATAAAATAAAATAAAATAAAATAAAATAAAATAAAATAAAATAAAATAAAATAAAATAAAATAAAATAAAATAAAATAAAATAAAATAAAATAAAATAAAATAAAATAAAATAAAATAAAATAAAATAAAATAAAATAAAATAAAATAAAATAAAATAAAATAAAATAAAATAAAATAAAATAAAATAAAATAAAATAAAATAAAATAAAATAAAATAAAATAAAATAAAATAAAATAAAATAAAATAAAATAAAATAAAATAAAATAAAATAAAATAAAATAAAATAAAATAAAATAAAATAAAATAAAATAAAATAAAATAAAATAAAATAAAATAAAATAAAATAAAATAAAATAAAATAAAATAAAATAAAATAAAATAAAATAAAATAAAATAAAATAAAATAAAATAAAATAAAATAAAATAAAATAAAATAAAATAAAATAAAATAAAATAAAATAAAATAAAATAAAATAAAATAAAATAAAATAAAATAAAATAAAATAAAATAAAATAAAATAAAATAAAATATAATAAAATAAAATAAAATAAAATAAATTAAAATGAAATAAAGTAAAAGAAAATAAAATGGAAAAATATAATAAATTTAAAAATTAATACAAAATAAGATCAAAAGTAGCGATAACCAGAAATCAATTGCCGTACAACTAACCGAATTGCAAATTTCTACCAGTTCACCTACTACATAGCCACATGTCTATTTGTGATTATGTTTTGGTGTGCATTTGCGGAAAATTGAGAAAATTGTCAAACGAAATATTGTGAAAAGCATTCTTCAACTAGCTAGCAGTCTAATTTCGCTATTGAGATCACTTAGTACGAACGAACGAGCGAACGTGTACACGAGAACAGTGCTAGCGAACCGTGTATACAAAAACAACAAAACTTATTATTAAACATAATTAATATTGGTGGCGAAGTGGTAGGGATAGCAACAGTCAACAGGCGGTCAGTCATGCATTAAAATAAAATGGAATATTTTTCGATTTCCCGGAATACTAGATGCTCTTCACACGCTTCGTTGTTTGCGTACTTTTATTTATTTTTTTTGAAACAATATACTGAAATAACTAGGAAAATGGGCTTCAGGGTTTTCGAGGCAATGAAACTGCCTTTGAGAAATTTAGAAATATAAAATTCTCTTTAAAAAGTGTGAAATTAACTTTAACGGTATAGAATTTGTGTTATAAAAATATGTATAGGTTGAAAAAGGAGATAAGTAAAACTAAAGTTTTTGATTGAAATTTGTTTATGGTGTTACGAATTTTTTTAAAGGTGACAAGTACGAAAAATGACATCCTCTGTTCTCTTGTATATGTATGTATGTATTAGAAAAATTAAATGAAAATATTAGCAAAACAATTAAAATTTAAAAAAGTACGAAATCATATTTAAAGTGCTTAGACAAATTTGTGGGGAAAGTAGTCTTGCTGGATTTATTTTGTTTTAGATTTAAAGTGGTAATTTTTTTTAGTATTTTTTCTTGTACTATTCTACTGGTTTTGGTGCATTAAAAGCATTAAAAGTATAAGGGTTGATGCTCACCTAACAGACAATCTTGAAACATGAGTTTGGTTCTTAAAAATATTTTTTTTTGTTCTATTATTTGACAAAATAAAAAAATAGAATTTTTTATGACTTCTATCTAATTGTTTTTTTTAATTACTTTAATTGAGCAATTCACAAAATTTCGATAAAAAATTTGTTGCCAAGCAAAATCCATATAAGAGTAAATAATTTTCTTTTAAACAAGTCACCGATGGAATTTCCATAGCACACAGCAACTCGGCGCCGCAACGCAATCCTCAATGAGCTGCTAAATTACTAAGCTTTTGAAGTGTTGAATAATTTTTATTTGAATTTATATCTTTCATTAGCGTAAAAGGTGAAAATTGCTGAAAATTTATTTATGAAAAATATAAAAAAAAAAATATTTCAAAGCCAACAAGAGCAAGGGAAAAAGTGTGAATCTGCAAAAAAGCATCAAAATGATGAAATAAAAATAAATAAATGAAACAAAAATAATTAAGAGTGTGAAAAATGTAAAACGTGAATTCTGGTTGAAAAATTTGTTAAACCTCAAAAAGAAATAAAAAATTATTTGAGCTGTGAATAACAAAAAATGTTTCACTTTCAACGCAACTATTAAATTTCATTATTTTGTATGTATGTATATTTCGGATATTTATAACAATTTGAAGCGCAGTGTTTAATTATAACAACAATAAAATCAGAAAATAATAAAAAAGTAAATAAAAAAAAATTAGCAAATAAATAAAATTACGTTAGTAGATTTTCTTCATTGTAAGCGTGTGTGTGTGTGTGTGCGTGTGGAGCAGCGGCAGCGGCGCTTAACAGCAATGGATTTACACGCAAGGCACTTAGAGAAAAAGTTGAAGGCAAATGTGTTAAAAAATTTGCAATAAATCAATGAATAGTGAGAAATAGCACAGCAAAGCGTCAAATGATGTGAATAGTGTTTGGTAAGCGCAAAGGAAAAAACATTCAAATTGTTTTTTTTTTTTTATAGCAACACACAGCAAAAAAAAAAATAAAATAAAAAAAGCAGTAAAAAAATAAATAAAATAAAATTATAAATAAATATATCACAAAGAAAGAAAACAAAAAATCCGAAGAAAAATCTCATTTGCTAAACTTGTGCCATTTTCGTTGTTAGCTTTTCTTCTCTCCCACCCCTTATGACTTGTCGCCTAAATGTGTCGCTCAGCTGTCTGCTCCACAAAAACAACAACAACAATAACAACATTTGTCATTTATAATAAAATCATTTGCCAATACGACGACATTGACGTCAGCTACGCGAAAATCGTGCAGTTTTAAGGATAGCCGTAGGATCAGTGGAAGAAAACATTTCTCCGGTTTAAATGGTGAGTAAAAGCAAAAATGTCTGCTACAAGAAAATATAGTAAAATATTGAAATGCTATAAATTATATTCTATTTCACTTATTCACTTACTCTACGGGTTATTGTCACTTGCAGCTGTTGTCGTAGCAGTTGACTTAAATCACTTTTTAATATCTTCAAATCTTTTAAACGAAAATATATATATATATATATATATTTATGCTTATTTAGTTCATATTGTTATATTTTTACATACTCCAATCTGAGCGTTTATGTGTATGCAGTCCAATATGTGGCATTGCAATAAGAAGGGATGAGTCAAAGTTCATTTAACTTTAAAACGTGTACACATGGTAAAGATTTTCTAGGGTTTAAAATAAAAAATATAAAAATATTTATATATACGAGGGTAGTTTGATAGATAAGTGACTTTTTGAATAAAAGAGATTTTTTCGGCAATGAAGTGCCATATTTCTCGACTATCGCACTTTAGTTCTATGCATTTAGTCGAGCTTTTTTCCAATTTTTATATTCCATTCTTAAGATTTAGAAACAAAATTGTTGCTGGGATCTTAATCTCATTAATATGTTCGTGACCTAATGTATGAATTGTAGGCATGTAACTACACACGTGTGCACCTGTGGAATGTCCATTGGGGACAGCTTTTTCTTCCGCCAAATGCGTCCGCTTCTGCCTCAAATCAGTACTAAGTCTATCCATAAGCTCTGATTAATTTTCACCGGTGATCGTTATGTGCTGCAACTACCCATCTTACATCGTCCATAGCAACATACCTCATGAGAGCGCCATGCAAATGAAAAGTTGTCACCGCTTGTCGATGACGCTAGTGACGGTTGTCCCGCAGAAAACACTCGTGTTTTGTATATTCTATTAAAGTCGGCTATTATGGCTGTGCCGTATGTAAGATGAGTAGTTGCAACATTACCCTCTTCAAAGTAATTGTTGTGAATGACACCTCGTTCATACTAAAAACTGTGGATATGACCTTCTTGATCGATAGGCTCTGTCGGCCTTCGGCTTGGTGTGTGGTGTAAAGTGTTGGAACCACGTTTCGTTTACTGCAACGAAGTGGGGGCAAAAATTCGTTTGGTATCCTATTGAAAGCGGCCGAATACTCCTTTGAAGTGGTTACATAGGGTGCATGCGAAAAGCTTCTTTATATCTCTATCCTTATATCCAAGTATTTATGTAAATTATGATATACTCACTGCTAGTTGAGATGCCTACAAGCACAGCCACATCATTATTATTATTATTCTCCGATCGTTTAATAACATTTTTATTGACGACTTCCAAACAATTGGAGATCCTCAATCCTCAGCGGATAGTTGGTTGGTTGGTTGGTTGAAGTGGTTGCTGGGCATCAGCTCACCTAAGCCCAAAGCGGGCCCAATGTGAAACTACCGAGAGAGAGTCCTAAGGACCCCTACCCGCTAATAAAACCAGTAAGTGGAGCTTGCAAAGCTGAGAATGTCTCGCATCTTGACCCCCGCTAACTCGTTCAAGTATCTAAAGATTGCAGCCCCAGAGACTACAAAGTATTTCTCCAAACTGTGATGCATTTGCAAAGGAAGTGCCTTAAGGTTTCAGGTTCTTCTTCTTCTCTGCAATTATAGCAGAAGTTGTTAGATGGTGCGTCCGAGCCCTCCGCGTGCCTGCCCAGAAGAATATGCTCTGTAAGAAGACTTATTACTGTAGATATCTCCTTTTTAACTCGATGAGGCCACGTGACCTTCTCCTTTCCATTCTTAAATTACCCTTCTCGGAGTATAACTCTCTTATATTGAGCTTACAAGTGGAGAGCGGCTTGCCCAAACTCTTTGATGATGGCGAAAGTGGAAGGGAAGTGCGCCCTTCCTTACAAGCTCCTCCGCCATCTAATACTGAACTGCTTGGCCATAGCATTAGGCGATCTGCGGTAGTCCTCTACGGTTTTAGATTTTATTGTTACAGACTCCATTGCTTGTAGGGCAGCATGGCTATCCGAAAAGAATGTTCAAGAGTACCCTATAGCTGAGACAGTTGACAGCCTCATATATAGCCACCAATTCCGCTTGAAAAACACTAAAGTTGAGTTGTTATCAAGTTTTGACCCATCCGTATAAAAATGAATCGAGCCGGTGCTTGCTAATATTATCCAGTCCCAAAGGTTTCTATCTGCGGTAACCAACTTGAAATCTACCGTAAAGTTTATGGATGATATGCAGTAATCCGTGTTTTCTGGAAGACGATATCTTCTTAAGATATTGCTATGTCCGTGGATCATTACTATATATTCGGACACATTTTTTGTATCTTACTGCGGCGCAGTTGGCATTATGGGGTCCCATTATGTCAATGAAGAGTAGATCCAAGAGAACATTCATAGCCTCATTTGTTGTTGTACAAAGTGCTCTGCTGATGCACAGGTGCCGCCCTCTGTACTCTATCGAATTCGGAGGTAAGTGATTTTTTCTTAAGTGCTGGTCACCAGACTACAACCACATAGAGGAGTATTGGCCCAACAGCTGTGACATAGAGTCAACACACTATTTTGGTGGACATGCCCCTTTGCCGGCCTATCACATCTTTGCAGCTATAGAAGAGGTGAGATGACTCCATCCTGTGGGGTTCCTCTGCTGACATACCTAAGTGCCGACACCCCAACGATCCTACATCTGAGCATTTGGCGTATAAAAGATGTCACCCGAGAATCGGCATATTGGATACCTGTTTGATGAACGGTCTTATGCTGATATCTTTTGCTCAATATGTCTGCCTCGATGTAATCAATCTACCCTTAAACGTTCGGGGATATTTCGCCAAGGAGGCTTAATTCGCCAGCTGTTTTAATTACTGTCAAGAATACCTTCATTGTCGACAATTATTTCTGTTTGCCACTTGCATTACGAAAGTTGAGTTTTCCTGTTTCTTGCAGGCTCTATGCGCCTCAGAATCCTTTTATTTGTCTGTTTGGCAAAAAACCCGTCTGACTCCTATCTTGGTGAGTATCTCTTTAACACTTCGAAGATTTCTTGCTTGGCGTGGCCTTCTGACCATCGTGCCTGAGCTCTATATAGAACAGTTGCTTTTTTAGGCTGCATTTGTCCAATTTTCCTCTTATTGGCGATTGTTGTTTGATAAATGGGGTCCTGGACTAAAAGACTACTAAATTAGCAGGGAGTTCGCTCAGTGGGGTTGTGCTTTCTTGTCTTTTGATGCTGCGATTTTCTGGTTCGCTGTTTCCGTCTGAGTGGATGTCTTAGACCCCAAACGCTGCTGCAGAAAAGCTTCATGATATATCATTCCATCGCTGATTTTCGATACGTTTAATGGAAAGATTAAGGCAGTGAGACACCATAACTGTTCTCTTCTATACTTATCAAAGGACTGATGTCGCGATGTACTGTAGGGAGGCAAGTCAGGTAGAGGGGTAGCATCGGTATTTCCGCTTCTTTGCGTCTTTAGAGCTTCTGGTTGAAATTTTTTTTTTAATTTTTTAAATACCAGAAATTAAGTTTTGTATTATTAGGAACCTTTTTTTTAGTATCTGTTGTGCTCTATGTTGTTAAAAAAGACCTTTAACAGTGCACTACGTCAGCTTTGCGGGCAGCATAAGGCCACGTATTATGCCTTTTAGTTACGAATTTTTCTTCCACTTCTAAGATATTGCGTTACATTGTTGTTATAGGTCGTATGTACAAGTATGTTTGAATATAACTGTAACCATTGTGGCCAACCAATAAATTGTACTTATTTGTGCAGTCTCTGACGTTGAGTGCATGCTAGGTATCGCTGTTCAAAGTATTTACATATCCATAATGTCATTTTCTAGTCACAGGCACATATATATATATATGTGTGTGTGTATTTATATAAGCAAAGTGTACCACATTTGGCAAGCGTCAATAGCACCCACACATACAAACGAGGGTATTCATTCTCAGCTACCGAAAACCAGAAAATAATCATAAAATTCAATGACGTGAGGAAATGAGCTGCAGAAAGGCAATAATAACAACCACAATTACAACAATGTCAACGAGAAGAATGTGATTTTTCATTGTCTGTTCTATCTTTTTTTTTGCCACTCTGTTGTGTTATGTATTATTGTTTGTGCAAATATTGAAAACACGAAGCTTTCTTTTGCTTTTGCTTTTATCCACTCGCGGTTAATGTCATCAATAATGCAATCGAATTTCCATTCACTGCATATTCATATTGGTATTATGCATTTTAATGGCATATATACCAAGTGTGTGTAGCAAATCGTTAATATAATATTTATATTATGTAAAACATATTTTTCGGAGGAATTTTCTCATAGTAAAAAAGACTCCATTAATTTTTCATTTTACCTTCAATATCACTATACCTCTCTCATAGAAAGCCTTGTCACTAGTGGGAAAATCTTGGACAATCGATTCTGAGAGGTTTTTGCACCAGCAAAATCAGTCGCCCTAAATAGAAATTGATGGTATCACTTGTGGCGAGTTTCGGCCAATAAATTAGATGCATAAGAACCTCTTAACAATGCCCTCGGAGTTCCTGGTGAGTTACTATTGATCTGTGTAGTCTGGAGTTGTACTGATGGAACACAAGTTCCCTCGTGTTGGCAAAACCTGTGCAGCTCTGGGCAATTGCCTCCGTTAAACGGTTCAATCGCAGATAGACTTTTGTCGTCTGGAAGTAGCTCATCGTACATGACTCCTTATCAGTACCACCAAGTGGCAACGAATCTTTCCACCATGACATCTTTCATTCGATGTGGCTGTAAGTTATCCAGTTTTCAACACCATTCATCATGTGCTTCTGAAATGGGTCGATTTTGTTATGTTTTAGCAGCAGCTTCGTTAGCTCATGTGAGACTCTTATATCGAGCTTTTTGTGTATCCAGTCTTTTTCAGGTCTTTTTCAAATTGTTTATTGTGCAAAGTTGAGTTTCTGAGCAATTAAAACAACGCTTTCGTGACGGTCAGACTCGACGATTCCCAGTTTATCGAGATTTCGGCGATTGGCTT